AAACCGCTTCTGCTGGATGAGGAATGGATCCCCATCTCAGAGCTGACCGCCTTCATTGCCTTGGCTTTCCAACAAGGGGCCCACTGAGCAAACCAGGTAGTCATTTTGGGGATCGATAACACCTTGGCTGGCTGCGCCATCCAAGCGCGGTCCGTCGGCCTTCATTCTGGCATCTTTAATTGAAACTGAGCCCAACCTAATTTACTTACTTCCTTTAGCTCAGGCTAGTGGGAGATACGAAAGGCCAAGTGGACGGAAATTGCATTTACGGCAGGAGTGAGACCACCTATCATCATCCAGCTAAGTAAAACTGCTGGTTGTGGTGGTCCTCTCCCAGCTCGCCGCTTCCCCGGGGTCCGGGGTGGCGCGGCTTATATTTTTGGTGCCATGGTTTAATTTAATATCGGCTCTGGCGTGATTTTCCCATGATATAAGATTTTTCATGATTTTCTCCGATGACGTTGGCTCAGAATGATTTAATACTGCAACAATTTGAATTTTGATTTAATGACTCGAAGGCGACTTTGTTCGAAGACGACTTTCATGGCGTAGAGAGGACAAAAGCGGGCTGCGGACGACGACGGCGAGGCGGCCTTCCTAGCCGACCTCGATGGCCTAAGTGCACACCCTAGGAGGTGGCACACTGGGTGTTACCCTAGTCTCATTGAATCGCGTTGAAGCACCTCCTGCTCACGTTATGGGCTGCGACCGGGGGCCCCAGGGGCGGGTCTGGAGATCTTCTTAGTACCGACTAATCGCGCAGTGAGGCTCAGCGTCCGCGAAATCGTGCGCGCGTCGTCTTAGTCGGTACTAAGAAGGCGATCTTCACGTCGAACGGGGCAGCCCCTCGGTCGACGGTCGTTTCGTGTGGTTTATGTACGAATTCGCCCTTCCCGGGTGGAATTAAGATGCTACTTACGGACATCCGTTGCCCTTGATTGTGGGTTCGAATTTCCACGCGCGCGTGACGACGGCGGCGGCGGCGGCGGCGGCGGCGGCGGCGGCGGCGGCGGCGGCGGCGGCGGCGACGACGACCGAGCGACCGACCAACCCAGCCCTACTGAAGGGAATCGACTGGGGCGATGATACACGATCCCCGATGCTGCGAGAGTTCGACAGACATGAGAAAGGAGTCGAGGGGATCAATCGCGCCCCATCCCAGCCCCCGAAGGACCGTTTGAGTCACCATGCGATTGGCAGCACTTCGCGTCTACGCATGTGCTTCGGGCTCACACTAGCGGAGCACGAAGCTGGTGGGATCGTTGCATAATTCCGCATTATCGCGCGGCTGTGGGCTGATAAAGACGCTCAAACCATAGCTTCGTCTTAAAAAAAGGTTCTCGTTCCGTCCGAGGGTTAGAATGAGCTAGTGGGGCTAGCCTAGGGGTCCCTGCTCCCCCGCAGTGGGAGAGCTGAAGCCGAGTTGGAAACGGCGTGGCTCGACCACTGGGGAAAATCCGCGAGTGGGAGCCGGAATGCAGTTTGCCCTTAACGGAGCTTGAGGGGCAGTTTACTATGGCGAGGCAGTGGGGGGGAATCAAAATCGCAAAATCGTAAGGGGTTTGGGGTATTTCGGGTCCGCGGAAGGGCTCTGGAAAGGTTCTGGAGGGCTTCTGGAGGGCTTCTGGCACGTGGTTTGGGGCGGGTCGCGCCCCCTAAGGCGTGGGCGGTGCGTCAGAGGTCCCCGGCGAGGCGTGAGCGGCGGTGTTGAGGTCCCTTTTGAAGGGCAAGCGGCGGTATCTGTGGTGTCTGTCTGGTTAGCGTCACAGCGACGTGCCAGATAGCACCAGGCTCAGCGAGGTTGCACAGTCGCCGGACAGTGCACCTGCTGGATAGTAGTTTGACTGACGTCATAGCGACGTTAGGAAGCTAGTAAACTATCCTAACTCTCTAAGCCCGGCCTACTTCCTTGGTCGGCCACCACCACCCGGCAATGGCCTTCCTGTTGCCTTCGTTCCGTTCCTCACGAAAGCCACTTTTTTCCCGGGGGTTTGCGCGGCAGACACGGCATCCAGCGCGCGCTGACGCTGCCGTTCCGCTGCCCTCCAGGTCTGCAACCGAAACATCACTTAAAGACAATTCGATGAATCGAAGATTACCTGTACACATTCACATTCGTAGACGCGTCGCGACATTAGAATGCGACGCTATTGCGCCTCGGAGAAGCGCCGTGGACCTTGCCGAAGACCCTGACCCGACGAACGACGGGCTGCCATGGAGGACGAGTGGATGGAGGCGCTGCACAGGTACGTGAGCGAGGGCCAGTGGAGCGAGGTGTCGCATTTCGTGGACCGCAACGCCGTGCTCTTCGGCGGTAGCAGCACGGAGAAGGAGCACGGCGAGGGCGAGTACGCGCTCTACGTGCAGTTCCGGTCGCTCGTGGCCAAGGTTTTGGACTCGCTCCTGGAGGAGCTGGGCTGTCGGAGCGAGGCGGACGAGGCGCGGCTGGCGATTTTTTTGCGGGAG